TTAAAATAAGTGAATATTATAGAAGGACAAACAAACGCCAAAATTGGCGTAATATATTATGAACAGGGGCGGTTTCTCCATTGGTTCATTTGTGCAGTGAACACCCAGTTAAATTTCATAAAAACACATAATTTTAATATTACATAAATAACAAAAATATAAATTTAATTTTAATATTTTTATTTTCATACGTGTTAATCTATATTTTTTTGCAAATCATTGTCCTCTGGCTGATCGCGTCTTTGTGTCACAGTATACCTAAATATACTGTGTCTGTGGCGCATTATGATGAGTGAGCCTAACACGAGTGAGACGATATACCGAATGCATATAGCTAAAAAGAGAAGACAACACGCCAACAGATCCTGCAAACTGTCAAAGAACACATTAATCGGCGCGCCGCTCACAAACAATTTTTAGCAAAGATTAATCTCTAAAAGGAGAAGAAGACCTTTCATTATAAAAAAAATCGGATTAAATATAAGGGATTTAAGGGGGGTTGAAATTAAAAAAAAATCAAAAATGAAAAGCGACATCAACATGAAAGTTTTAGTAAAAATCAAGGTCTATAAGGAGATGAGGCATATTGATTGTGAAAACAAACTGCGATATTGGCTCTTTTACAATAGTTTTGATCCGAACTTACATATAATGAAATTATTGGAAAAAGTGAACACCCATTTTAAATTACCACAAGCCGCCACTGATTGTGAACCCTGTACATCAAATTTTTTTTAATTTTTAGATATGATGTAAATGTATCACAAATTATAAAATAATTTAATTTTGTTTTTGTGAAGAGCAGGGCGTTTGACTAAACAGCTCGATATTATTTTTTACAAAGAAGGCATACGAAATGTATTTAAAATGATCGGTTATTATTTTTTGGTAACTTAATTGGACCCAGTACTACAAATAAATTAGTTACAGAAGACCTGCAAATAAATATAGGTATTATAGCGTTTTAACAGTACCTAGATTAAAATTAAAAATATTAAAGAAAATACTTTTAGAATAAATAGCGCCTTTGTAGAAACATCTTACTATTAATGTAATTTGACATTTTGGAGGTAATTATTTTTGTTTTTTATTTTTAATTTTTGAATAGCTTCTAAGATGTAATCAGGTTCTCTTAATGACATTCCCCGATTATGCCTTGGATCTACCATTTCTGGCAACATACAGTTTATATAAAACTTTTTTAACTTCTCCATATTTTTACACTAGAAATCGTCTCTTTAAGTGGATAATTGGGACCTGTCCATACACCAAAAATACATCCTTTTCGTACTGTAATATGTAATTGGCCTTGTATTTGATAATACCCGATGGTGGATATTAATGTCATAATTATTGGTGTCTTTATTAAAAATCCAAAAGGGTATTTTTTTCAATTTAATCGCCTCTTCTACCTGCATTTGATATGCAGCGTATGGACGTTTTATTTCAACCACTAATTCATCTCCTACAATGCCGTCTGGAGTAGCATCTACAAATTTAAAAATTATTATTTTGATTTAAAATGAACTAATTTGCAATATGTTATAGTTGAAATGTGAGTAAAAATGTGAACTGATTGTCCTAGTGGATGAACTTATAAAAAGGCTAATATCTGCAGATTTTTACTGCCTAGGGTATGCCGATGACCTGGCGATCGTCGTAAGAGGCAAGTTCGCAGGTACAATATCGGAGCGCACACAAACCGCTCTAAACATTGTCGACGAGTGGTGCAGAGAGGAGGAACTAACAGTAAACCCTCACAAAACCACAATAGTCAACTTTACAAAACGAAAAGTACCAACAGGACTAAAGTCACCAGTACTGAAAGGAGTGAAGATTCCATTCGCTCAAGAGGCCAAATACTTGGGAGTCATCTTTGACCACAGGTTAACATGGAATCAACACTTGCAAAAAGTCACCCAAAAGAGCACAACGTCCTTCAACTTATGTCGAAGGTTGTGTGGAAAAAATTGGGGATTACAACCAAAAATGTCCCTGTGGTTATATACCAGAGTCATAAGGCCGATGATAACCTACGGGTCGGTGGTATGGTGGCCAAAGACTAGGCAAGCTGGAGCCATTCGACAGCTCAATGGTATTCAAAGGCAAGCATGCCTGAGTACCACGGGAGCTATGAGAACGACTCCAACAGCAGCTATAGAAGTCATGCTAAACCTAACACCACTACATATATTCATTCAAGGCGAAGCCAGGTCTGTCACATACAGACTGCACAAAGGTTCATCGCCCATAAGCAGTTTGCATGGACGCGACTACAGCGAGCTATATAAAGAGTTGGAGAACGACCAAATAATGGGAATGCCTTCAGACGAAATGCTTCCAAAGTATAGCTTTCAAAAGCAATATAAAGTAAGTATACCAGACAGGGAAGCGTGGACGGGAGGACCTCCTATTCATGCAGATCTCACCTGGTATACAGACGGCTCCAAAACCCATGAAGGTTCAGGAGTAGGTATATATAGTACCAAGCCAAAGACAGGAATCTCACTGAGCTTAGGTAAACATGCGACAGTATTCCAGGCAGAAATAGCAGCAATACATCACTGCGCAAAAGAAGTATTAAGACAGAAGGTAAATGGGAAAACCATTGTCATATACTCAGACAGTCAAGCGACGTTAAAAGCACTCAGTTCCATGCAGGTACACTCAAAGCTTGTGTGGGACTGTTTGGAAGCCCTAACAGAGCTGGGTAGTCAAAACAGACTAACCTTAGCGTGGGTACCAGACCACAGGGGACACAAAGGCAATGAAGAGGCTGATTTACTAGCCCGAGAAGGAGCATCAAATGCTCTTATTGGCCCAGAACCCTTCTGTGGTGTAACAAAAACAACTATCAGAACATGCACAAAGCAGTGGATGTTTAAAAAATCTCAGGAGTGGTGGGAAAACTCACCAGGACAGAGACAGGCCAAAAAGTTCTTAAAAGGACCATCGTCTAAACTCACCGAGCATCTACTAAGCCTTAATAGGAAAAATACTAGAATACTAGTAGGTCTATTAACAGGGCATTGTAGGCTTAACAAACATATGTTCAATATCGGTCTGACAGAAGAGGCCTTGTGCCGATTCTGTCAAGAAGAAGAGGAAACGGCAGAACACGTATTGTGCTACTGCGAAGGTCTAGTAAGACTGAGATTCCTTACACTTGGAGAAGAAAAACCAAGGGCAACTAGCTATACCGGAGAACTACTTTCCAGTCTATGGAGTTTACTACAAAAGACCGCATTAGACAAGGTACTCTAAACAATGATTAAAGGATATCCACAATAGATCTGAAAAGGTCGAGGTGGGGGAGGCCACATGGCCCATAGTCCTAATTAAATCTAATCTAATCTACGTACCTAAATATGGATATTTTTTGTCAATAAAAATTCTACAATCTCTAATCACTATATTTTCCTGCTCTTGAAGCTGCAAAAGTGCCGTTTTTTCATACTTTTGGCCATGAGAAATAGCAGCATTGACTGGTAGTTGGTAAATAATCCTTTTGAGTCAAGGCTCACATCTAGGACACACTGCTTGAAAGTGTGAGGCCGTAATCATTTTTCTACGAATTTCAAGCCAAACCCTACTGTCCGCCTGTGCCATAGTTTGTTCCTAAATTACATTTCTCTTAACGTCAGATGAAGGGAATTCGTTTAAAAATTTTTTTTACTTTATAAATATCTTGATCTAAATCCTTTTTGGTACAATTTTCTCCATAATCTAAATCAGTTTTATTGGTTTTTGCAGAATAACTTTTTTTTAATTTGCGATTAGATTTTGATTTTATTGCTAATTGTCGCCTTTTTTTTAATTCAGTTACTAACATGGATTGGTTAGTACGGTTTAAAGTTTTTTCAATTCTGAATTCACTGATTTCGAATTATATGATACAACTGCTGCAAAACATCTACTTTGGTAAGAACGCCCTCTGGAATAATTGATTCTTTTGTCACCTACAAACTTAGTGACTGTCGCATGAAATTGTTCCACAATATTACTATCAACATCATGTAATAGACTTCTGCTGTGATCTGACAAAGCATGTATAATTTGTAGAAGTCTGTAAAACATTCAGATTTGGATCTGAAATTGGTTATTTCGTTTTTGGTTTCATCTGTATGCTTCTGACAAAAATAAATATCGCAGTTTTTATGATCACCAAAAACGTGAAAACTTGCATTGTCTGTCTTTCTTTAAAAGCAAAACGTTATTAATAGTGCTAAGACTATTTTCTTTTCTATAAGAAACTGCCTTCGTAACAGATGTTCTTAAACGAAGAATGTTTTGACTAATTTTCTTAGTTTTATTGGAAAATTCACAAATAACTTTCTCTTTTAGGCTCAAAATTTTACTAAATACGTTCAGATCTTCAATTCACCGGTATAACTAAATAAATCGCCGATCCATTTCCTATGATAGGGTAAATGAGGCTCGACGACCCGTTCTTGGAATTTTGAAGGTAGGGGTATAATAGGAGTAATATGCCGACAAATTAGTTCTCATGAACGGAGCAATAACTCTTGCCATAATTTTCAATTAAATCCTTGTAAATTATTATATCATCGGATAGAATTGAAAATTTTCACAGACTTTTAAGGCGATATTAGCGAGTGTACTGTGATTTTGCAAGCATGTTAATAGCAATTAATTACTTTGCCAGAGTCATAAGTGGCTGTAAATTCAGCTTTAGATCTTAAATGATATTAAATTTGCAGCTATGTTACATTTCTGACCGTACAGCATTCCATTAATTTCGTTTTTTGTCAGTTTTGACAATGTTGCCGACCCTGTATCGATTTGCAAAATCGCTAAGTTTCGATTCATTCGGTACTTTATATATTACCACGAAGTTTAAAAAAATATTAGAATTAATGTTAAATTTTTTGATTTGTATGTCTCTACTTACTGGCTTAAGAAACAAATAATAAAAATAATTTGATTTCAAAAATAAGAGAAGTATTATTTATGGTAAAAAATGAGGTTTAATGTTTTACCTGTAGCTTCATTAATAATCCATTCCAAAAGTCCACATCCGCAGCCTATTGAAGAAATTCCTTCACACGCTAAATCATTAACTATTCGTTTAATAAAAAATAAATTTTTTTCATCCGGCCATACCCATAACAATTTTAAAGCACCGTTATCACTGGAATTTTCATTTAACTTTAAAATTTCCCTCCACTTTTTTAAGTGATATAATCCCAGCACTGTATCTTTTAAGCCGTTTTCTTCCATTTTTACTTTCTATTTCACCTGCTGAATATTCGGAACTGAGTAGAACTATTTTTAAATTAGTGGAGTGAGCTTTTTTAAACTAATGACATTGAACTTGCATAATGATTTGGCGCTAATTACCAATAGTATGCGAATACATGGGAAACTAGCCAATAAAAACATTGTCATGTATGGAAATATATGTCTTATCAATTATATTTTGATAAATATCGATCTACTTACTATTTTTGACATAATTTTTTTTAATCAATTAATTTTAAAAATAGTTTCGTTTACGTATTAATCAAATTTGTACGTCACAACTATTTTTTCGGAGCAATATTTTTATATATAACTTTGACGTTCTTTCAGTTTTTAGTTTTAACAGTTATTTTTTGTTTACTTACTTTTTCGTTTAAAATAATTCACCAAAAACTGTTATTGCATATTTTCACAATAAATTTTTCCGATTTAACTTTTACCATTAAAAAGTTTGTGTATACTTACACCACGATGCCTACCATGTATTACAGCCGGACTCAACCTGCGGCCCTCCAAGCTTTTTTTGCAGCCCGAAACACTATTAGAAAGGTGCTTTTTAAAACTATTCGCGATTCAAGCTAAGTGATACGCCCTCTGGAGGAAATTTGTAGAAGGTCCGTATAAGTAGGATATCGTTCAGTGTTGCCAGAAGTAGCAAAACTTCTCTACGCCGTTGGATTTTAGCTTTTGAAGAAGTGGATAAGACCTTTTATTTAAAAATCAAAATGTGTGTGGTAATATGTAATCATACTCTATATTTATTTAAGGATTTTTTTATAAAACCGATTTATTATATTGATTTTTTTTAAATTTCAGTTCATTTATTAATTTTGTTTTAAAATCGGTTGATCATTTGGCAACATTGGCGTTCGTGTTCATTGTTTACATTTTAATTTGTATCAATTACAATTCGAGTTTTTTCTTACTTTTTAGTTTTAAATTTGTTTATTTTTTATAGTATGTGATAGTGTTTATATTAAAAATGAAATCTGCAAAAACGTCCCCAGAAAATTGCAATCTATATGGTGTTAATGTCAAAATAAAAACTGAAGTATTAAATATTTTCCAAGTGCAATGTAATGAAAAACTGTGTTCATGTTTTATATTAGTTTTGTACATCCTGTATGGTTTATTTATTCTTTGTTATAGAGTTGTCATATTATTTACTGTCACTAAAATTCTGTTCAATAAAGCCTAATTTCAGAAGGTATTTTCATTACAATTTATTGAACAGAATGGATAAGTTTCTAAAGCCCGAGAGATTTGAAACAGATCCCAATTCACCACGCGCAACTCAGGAATGGAAACACTGGTTTAAAACTTTCGAAAACTTTATTTCATCAATTGCCAGCTTAAAGGACGAAGATAAATTTAAAGTTCTTATCAATCATCTAAGCAATTCAACATACGAATATATCTCCGAGCGTTCCAATTATCCTGCTGCAATAAAAGTTTTAACTGAAATCTACGTTAAACCTAAAAACGAAATATACTCTAGGCATAAATAAGTTGTCAACTAGAAAGCAACTTCCTGGAGAATCGATTGATCAGTATGTAAGAAGTCTCGAACAATTAAGCAAAGAATGTAGTTTTAAAGCAGTGACTGCTGAAGAAAATAAAAGTGAGTACATTCGAGATGCCTTTATTAACGGAATTATTTGTGTCCAAATTCGACAACGCCTCTTAGAAAATAATAACTTAAGTCTTGCCGACGCTGTGAGTAAAGCTCAATCTCTAGAAGCTGTCCAACAACATTCCAGTGCTTATGTATCTCCATTAAGTCTTGCCTCTACTGTATCAAACGAAATCAACAATCCAACCACCTCACAGACATCATCTACTGATCCTATTCCACAAACAGTTGCGGCCTTAGAAAGGTATAGATGTTATTTTTGTGGAAACAAAAAACATCCTCGTTTCACTTGTCCTGCTAAAGACCAAACATGTAAAGACTGTGGCAAAAGAGGTAATTTCTCAAACGTATGTATGAGCAAAAGGCTTAAAAATAGGTCCACGTCAGCTTCACTTTTAAACACGACTGGTTTAATCGCGGCTGCTCCACAATGTCTTTCAAAATCATTGATAAAAGTTAAGATCAATAATATTCCAGCTCACGCCCTCATTGATACTGGCAGTTCCGAGTCCTACATTGACGAACATTTTGTTAGAAATATTAAATTGCAAATACTACCAAGTAATGGCAAAATATCAATGGCTTCTACTGCCCTAAGCTCAGACATATCTGGTCACTGTTTCGTTAACTTGGATTTAATGGAATATCACGATAAAAATAAAAAGCTATCTGTACTTAAAAATCTCTGTGCTGACGTCATAATTGGACATGACATCCTTAAAAACTATTCTAAGGTCGAACTAGACTTTGGTGGTCCTAGACCAGCATTAACAATCTGCGGTTTGGTTTTAGCCAAAGTCGAACCACAAAGTCTATTTAATAATCTTGCTCCTAACTGTACGCCAATAGCTACAAGATCCCGAAAACATTCTTGTGACGATAAAAAATTTATACATGAAGAAATCCAAAAACTCCTTGGTAAAGGAATAATAGAGGAAAGTACCTCACCTTGGAGAGCTCAAGTTCTAATTACTAAAAATGAACATCATAAAAAGAGAATGGTAGTAGACTACTCGCAGACAATTAATCGCTTTACATTTTTGGATGCATATCCCTTACCTAATATTGAAGAACTTATCGCTCTCATTTCAAAATACAATTTCTTTAGTACAATCGATCTTAGAAGTGCTTACCATCAAGTTCCGATACGGGAAGAAGAAAAACTTTATACTGCTTTCGAAGCTAATGGGACGCTCTATCAATTCCGAAGAATCCCATTTGGTGTAACTAATGGTGTAGCGTGCTTTCAGAGAGTTATTGACAGTATTATCAAACGAGAAAAACTACCTGGCGTCTATGCATACTTAGATGATGTCACAGTATGTGGAACCAGTCAAGCTGATCATGACGAGAACCTTCAAAAATTTTTGGCTTCTGCAGAAAAATACAACCTTGCCCTTAACTATGAAAAATGTCACTTTTCAAAACGTTCGATCAAAATTCTGGGCTACCTTATTGAAGATCATATTATAAAGCCTGACCCAGATAGACTAGAACCTCTAAAAAATTTACCTCCACCTACAAACCTGGCATCTCTTAAAAGAATTATGGGGTTATTCGCTCACTACTCTAAATGGATACCAGGGTTTTCAAACAAAATTCATCGGTTAAATACATGTAAAATATTTCCTTTTCCAACGGCAGAAATGTCAGACTTTGAAGAATTAAAAAAGGATATAATTCAATCAGCTGTAACTGCCATTCACGAGCGCATACCCTTTGTAGTTGAAACTGACGCGTCTGACTACGCTATAGCAGCAACTTTAAGCCAATCAAGCAAGCCCGTTGCATTTTTCTCCCGAACTCTATCAGCTAGTGAACAAAGGCATTCTTCAGTAGAAAAGGAGGCCTATGCTATAGTTGAGGCGTTAAAGAAATGGCGTCATTTTCTTATTGGGAAGCACTTCAAACTAATAACAGACCAAAAATCTGTTTCCTTTATGTTTAATAACAAACATGCAAGTAAAATCAAAAATGAAAAGATCTTAAGATGGCAACTAGAGCTAGCTTGCTTTAGCTATGATATAGTATATCGTCCGGGCACCGAGAATACTGTCAGCGATACATTTACTAGAATATGCAGTTCAACTACTGGAAATACTTTATTTGACCTCCACAATGCTCTGTGTCACCCTGGTATCACAAGAATGACTCACTGGGTAAGATCACGCAATTTACCATTCTCTATTGATGAAATTCTAAAAACTACTGCTGCTTGTCCGATTTGTGCTCAAGTAAAACCCAAGTTTCTTAGGTTTCACAAATCTAAATTAATAAAAGCGACTGCTCCTTTTGAACGACTTAATATCGACTTCAAAGGACCTTTACCATCTACATCAAGAAACAGATATCTTTTAACTATCATCGATGAGTATTCCCGGTTTCCATTTGCCTTTCCCTGTTCCGACATGACTTCTAGTAGTGTTATAAAATGTCTTTCCAAGATTTTTTCACTTTTCGGAATGCCATCATACATCCATTCAGACCAGGGTGCTTCTTTCATGTCATCTGAATTAAAACATTATTTGCATTCTAGAGGAGTAACAACAAGTCGAAGTACACCTTATAATCCAGAAGGAAATGGCCAAGTTGAAAGATACAACGGAATTATTTGGAAAACTATAAATTTAGCTTTGAAGTCAAATTCATTAAAAACTATGCAATGGGAGCTAGTTTTAGATGACGCTCTGCATTCTATTCGCTCCTTACTTTGTACCTCTATAAATTGCACTCCTCATGAAAGGATGTTCCCTTTTCCAAGAAAATCTACTTTTGGAACTGCTATTCCTTCGTGGCTCTCAATTCCAGGTCCAGTATTTATAAAAAATCAAGTCCGAAATAGTAAGTTGATCCTTTAGTAGAAGAAGCTGAACTTGTAGAAGCAAACCCTGATTATGTCACAGTAAGACACCAGGATGGAAGAGAATCTATTGTTTCCCTCAAACATTTGGCCCCAAGAGGAGACTTGAATCTATTAACCTATAATAATAACGAAAATCAACAAAGTAATCAAGATATTTCAGAAAATATTACCAATATCCCATCTCCTAGTTGCCTCAGGATTCCCGATCTTTACAAACCTCCAAATGATACCACCGATACTTCTATTTCAGAGACTCGTTTTCCTGATAATCCGGTCACCCTTGTACATGACGATAAACAAATAGATTTTGTTCAGCAACCTGATACCATCCAACAAATTCGACATCCAAGAGAAAGAAGACCTCCAAAATATTTAGATGACTACGTTTCAAAATAATGCCGGGGAGAATGTAATGAAAAACTGTGTTCATGTTTTATATTAGTTTTGTACATCCTGTATGGTTTATTTATTCTTTGTTATAGAGTTGTCATATTATTTACTGTCACTAAAATTCTGTTCAATAAAGCCTAATTTCAGAAGGTATTTTCATTACATGCAAGTCGTAAAATTTTATTTTTTACGATAAATGAATATCTACAAATTCACAATATTGAAATTTTACAAAACTTTGTTTAGAATCAAACTGTAATCTGATTTGTGACGGTTTTATTACCATTTACATGTATACAAAGTACTACATGATTCACTTCATAATATAAGAATAAGTCTAGTAAGATTTTTAAATAAGTTTATCAATAATAAACGTGTGGTACCTGAAATGTCCTTTAAACCACATAATAAAACATGTACTGGGTTTAGTGAATACATATTTCTAGATGTTCTTGTAGCAACCAATAGGTGAATATTTCCAACAAATAAGTCATACACATGATAAATATTATATTTATGATGAAAGCACGAGACTTAAACTTAAATTAACACTAAATGAAACTCAAAAACACTATTACAATGAGAATATTATCTAAAAACAGTAAAAAAAATCACAAATACAAAATCCGCCCAAAACAAAAACATGTAAATAAACAAACATCCTACTCTGTGATCCTACTTATAAGTGACAAATGACAGGCGCGCGAAAATTAATTTGAATCGCCAATAAGCACAGCTTATACAATTAG